GTTAAATATTTAGTTTATAAACTATGACATTTATAAATATATGAATCATATGGTGAAAAACTGACTTTGAAAAATAAATCTGTTATTTTTTCTTCTAAAAGGCTAAATAAAACAAAATTATTGGTGGTAATTTTTGACTGTGTAACTTTACAAACGGCAGCCCAGAAGCAGTGAAGAGGCTGCAGAGCACAAGTCTGAGGACTTACACGGTTGCGAGGGTGGCGTGGTCACTGGTGACCCTGGAGAAGTGGTTCTCCAGCATGGTCAGGGTCCCGGTCAGCGCCACGTGCCCACACCCGCAGAACAGGGCCACGCCCGAGAAGCAGAGGATGGTGGCCACCAGCGAGGCGTAGGGCACCCCGCCCAGACACTTGAGGCAGCACTCGGAGCATCCTGCAGAGGGGGACAAACAGACGCTTTAATTGCACTTTTTTTAACGCTCCGAACTCTTTCAGGCAGATCTGAACAAAGAATGTAGGTCAGATCTGAAGGAGCTGAAACGACTGAAAAGCCTCAACAACGAGCATGTTTCGTACGAGGAGGAACAATTTGATTCCGCTGACGACACTTGGTGTAAAACTCAGTGGCTTCTCATCCTCTGCTGCAGCTTTATTTATTCTTTTTACTGAAGCAGAGCGCTGTGAGGACGTTTCAACACTGCAGGATGAATCAAACGCCTGCTTCACAAGCACATCTCTCTCTGTCAGGCATGTCGAGCAGCTAATCATAGCATCGTTCACAGAGAGAGCGCCGCAGCTCAGCTGGGAGAGCAGCATTTTACACACATCTACACACTCTTATCCTAACCTTTGGTCCAACGTCACTCTTTAAGATCAAAATATTTAAATAACATAAGTTTGAATTTAAATAAAAAAACAATAATTTGAGCAGAAGAGTCTGGAATAAATCAGCCAAAATGTTAATGAATAATGAACCCCGCCCCCCTCCCAGTTGTAACTGTGCCTACAGAGTGATGGTGATGATGATGAATTAATAAAGCTGTTTTCCATTAACTGTGCATGAAGCTTCCTGCATAAGTGATCAGCCTGGGACACACAGGTGGCTGCAGATGCACCTAGCTTCAGAGCAAACAGGACGAAACAGAAGACATGGAGCACAAGAGCTGTATCTTATATAACTATCGTTAAAAATAACTCCTCCGGCAAAAAGGCAGGAAGTTACTCTGAGAGGAAAAAAAAAGACAAAATGAACTGTCTTGTGTGTACCACTTTGCTGTTTCCATGACAACCTGCTCCAGTTGGCAACCCTGAAGCATCATTATTTCATGTTCATGAGTTGGTTGAGTCGTTCCACTCGTGAAGCCTTGATCACATGACCGGCCGRGGTATATCTGTGCACCTGCAGCTCCCGGAACGCACAACCATCCGTTCTGACAGCCTGAAGAGACGCCTCGGTGAACGACACACTGTGATCTATACTGGAGAGGACCAGAGTCGCTCAAACATCCGCTCCAAAACATTCACTGCAAAAACTGTCCATCTTACCGTTTTAAAATCTTATATTCAGACAAAAAGTCTTTTGATCTTGTTTTGAGACTGATTTACTAAACAAGAACTGA